ATTTAATAATCACCATTCCAGAAATCCAACATAAGAATAGAATATTAAAAGCTGGCAGAGAGAAAAGACAGATCACTTATAAAGGAAAATCTATCAGAATCACAAAAGACTTCTCAGCACAAACAATAAAGCAAGAGCATGGAGTGAAGTATTTCAGATACTAAAGGAAGATGATTTCTAACCTAGACTGATGTACCCTGAAAAACTGTCCTTCAAAATGGGTGGAGAAATAAGATACTTCCATGACAAAGAACAGCTGAAGAACTTCATGATCAGCAAGCCAACCCTGCAGAGTACTGAAAGACAGTTTAGATACACTAGGGGAAAACCACAAAGCAAAGCAGATAGTTAAACAGAATGGAAAGATAAAGATTCAACAGCAGAAAAATAACATGTCAATAATAATTAACATATAACATATAACCATTAATGTAAATGATCTCAATGCACCAATTAAAAGAAACAGACTGACAGAAATGATCAAGAAACAACATCCAACTATATGCTGTTTACAAGAAACTCATCTAACACAAAAGGATACTCACAGACTGAAAGTCAAAGGATGTAAATCAATACTTCATGCAACAGGAACACCCCCCAGAAAGCAAGGGTAGCTATTCTGTTTGCAGACATTGTAAACTTCAATAATGATCAGAAGAAATAAAGAAGGTCAATAAATACTGGTTAGGGGAAAACTTCAAGATGTAGAGATAACAATCTTAAATATATTTGCACCAAATTCTTAAATATATATGCACCCAGTTATATATAACAACTATTAACAGAAAGGAAAAATAAAATTAGCTGTAACACAATTATAACAGGAGACCTTAGCATGCCATTGACACCAAGGAACAGATCAACCAGACCGAAAATCATTAAAGGAATAACAGAACTGAATCACACATGTGAACAAATGGACTTGATAGATATATACAGAGTGTTTCACCCAACAACATCAGAATACACGTTCTTCTCAGAAGTACATGGGAGATTCTCTAAAATAGATCATATATTAGCCCTCAGAACATACTTAAATAAATAGAAAAAGATGAAATTATCCCATGCATATTATTGGATCATAGCACCATGAAAATAGAAATTAATGATAAAAGATACAGCAAAAATCACACAAACACATGGAAACTGATAACTCACTCCTGAGTAATCAGTGGGTCATAGGGGAAATTAAAGAAGAAATTAAGCAATACCTACAAGCAAATGAAAATACAAATACAACTTACCGGAATCTGTGGGATGCAATGAAGGCTGTCCTCAGAGGGAAATTTATTGCACTGAATTCCCATATCAGGAAAATGGAAGGAATACAAATAAATAACCTGATTCTACACCTCAAACATCTAGAAAAAAAGAGCAAGACAAGCCTAAACACAAAAGAAGAGAGAAAATTACAAAAATCAGACAAAAATCAATGCAATAGAGACTAAGAAAACAATCCAAAGAATCAATAAATCAAAGAGGTGATTCTTTGAAAAAATAAATAAATTCATAATCCACTAGCCAATCTTATTTTTAAAAAGGGAAGAAAAAGCTCAAATTCATGTAATAAGGAATGAGAAAGGGGAAATCACTACAGACTCTAGAAATACAGATCTTCAGCACCTATTTTGAAACCCTCTACTCTCATAGGTTTGATAACACAGAAGAAATAGATAGATTCCTAGAAACATATGAAGTACCAAAGCTAGATCAAGAAGATGTAAAACTGTTGAATAACCCAATGTCTATTAATCAAATTGGTAACGTAGTTAAGTCCTTACCTACAAAGAAGAGCCCAGGCCCAGATGGATTCCTGCAGAATTCTACAAGAAATACGAAGAAGAATTAATGCCTGCACTCCTCAAACTCTTCAGTGAAATTGAAAGGGAACAATTCTTCCTAAGTCATCCCTAGAAGCAAATATTACTCTAGTACCAAAACCTGAGAAAGAACCAACTAAAAGAGAGAACTACAGACCAATTTCCCTAATGAACACAGATGCAAAAATCTTCAATAAAATATTGGCAAATAGGATGCAACAAATCATCAAGATTTTACACCATGACCAAGTGGGATTCATCCCAGGCATGCAAGGATGATTCAACGTAGGTAAGTCAATAAATGTAATCCACCATATCAATAAAGCCAAAAGTAAGAATCACATAATCATTTCTATAGATGCAGAAAAAGCTTTTGAGAAGGTCCACTATTCATTTATGATAATAACCTTACAGAAAATTGAAATAGATGGTCTTTACCTCAATATAATAAAGGCCATCTATGAAAAACCAACAGCCAGTATCACACTAAATGGTCAAAAATCGAAGGCCTTTACCTTAAAATCAGACACAAGGCAAGGATGTCCCTTATACTGCTTCTGTTTAATACAGTCCTGGAAATACTAGCCAGAGCAATTAGACAAGAGAGAGAAATAAAAGGGGTAAAGATAGGAAGAGAATAAGTTAAATTATCATTATTTCCTGATGACATGATACTGTATATACAAGACTCCAGAAACCCCATTGAAAGACTCCTAGATATAATAAATTCAGCAATGTAGCTGGATACAAAATCAATACTCAAAAATCAATAGCATTTCTATATACTAACAACAAAGTCACAGAGACAGAAATGAGAAGCCACACCCATCACACTAGCAATCAAGAAAATGAAATATTTAAGAATTATTCTCATGAAAGAAGTGAAAGACCTATATAAGGAAAATTATAATATACTAAAAAAAGAAATTGAAAAGGACCTCAGAAAATGGAAAGATATCCCTTGCTCTTGGATATGAAGAATAAATATTGTGCAAATGGCCATTCTCCCCAAACTGCTATTCAGATTCAATGCAACCCCAATAAAAAATACCATCAACATAACTCATGGATCTAGAGAAATCACTCCTCAATTTTGTCTGGAACCAGAAGAGACCTAGAATATCAAAGGCAATTCTAAGCAGCAAAGACAAGACAGGAGGTATCACAATCCCTGAATTGAAGTTATGCTACAAAGCGACTGTAGTAAAATCAACATGGTACTGGAATCAAAACAGAGCTGAAGATCAATGGAATAGATTAGAATATACAACCACAACTACAAACACACTCAACCACTTTATTTTTGATAAAGAGGCCAAACGTGTTCACTGGAAGAATGACAGTCTCTTTAATAAATGGTGTTGTAAAAACAGGCTCTCCACATGTCGAAAACTAATACTAGACCCATGCCTATCACTTTATACTAAATTAAAATCTAAATGGATCAAAGATCTGAATACTAAAACAGAAACACTAAATCTATTGGAAGACAAATTGGGTAAAAACCTTGTAGACATAGTAGTAGGTAGACAATTCATGAACAGGAATCAAACCACATGGGAAATACTTCCCAGAATCACTAACTGGGATCGTCTCTTATTAAAAAGTTTCTGCACGTCAAAATAAATCTCCAGCATAGTGAAAACAAAACCCACAAACTTGGAAAAAATCTTAGTGAACTGTCCCTCAGACAAAGGACTTCTATCTACAACATATAAAGAATTAAAAAAAAAATCAAACCACCAGAATTCAAAGATCCAATCCAGAAATGGGTATCTGCAACGAATACACAATTCTCAGATGAAGAAATACAAATGGCAAACAAATACATAAAAAAATTTTCATCATCATTAGTCATTAGAGAAATGCAAATAAAAACCACATTTGAGATTCCATCTCACTCCTGAAAGAATGGCCAGGATCAAGAAAACTACCAACAACAAATGCTAAAGAGGCTGTGAGGAAAAAGGAACTCTCCTGCACTGTTGGTGGGAGTGTAGACTGGTGCGACCATTGTGGAGGTCAGTCTGGAGTTTTCTCAAAAAGCTTTGACTGGAAGTCCCATTTCTTCCAGTTATATAAAATTATATAATATATAATTATAAAATTATATATAAATTATATGAATTATATAAAACTGAAGAGGTCATACCACAGTGATATATGTGCACCCATGTTTATAGCCGCACAATTTGTAATCGCCAGATCTTGGAAACAACCAAAGTGTCCATCAACTGAGGAATTGGTAAAAAAGCTGTAGTATGTTTATGCAATGGAGTACTACTCAGTTTTAAAGAATGATCACATTGAGATATTTGTAAATAAATGGGTGCAGCTTGAGACCATACTCATAAGCGAAATAAATCAAACTCCTATGTATAAATACCGCATAGTTTCCCTAGTGTAAGAAATGGTAAGAGTAAATAAAAGAATGTGCTAAATATGATTCCCTATTATATTGCTTTGAAGCCTTATAATGTTTTCATTCATTATTTGGATGGTTTTAAACTGGGTTGTTTGATTTTATTGTCTGTGATGGTATGAACAGTTATTTTGAAGCAAAAAAGACAATATAATAGTTAGTGCTGATTTAATATCATCTTGTTTTGAAGTCTCATGAAGCTTTTGTTCTTCTGTCTCCATTAGTTTATCATGTTATATCCTATTGGATTTTATTATATGTGATAGTATAAACAAAATTTTTTGTATACAAGGACATAATATAGAAACCATTGTTTATTTTTTGTTAGTTGGTTCTAAATACCCTTAATATTTTCATTCTCTTGAATGGTTTTACATTGTCATGTTGTGTTTGATGCTATAATATACGAAGTCATACTCAAATATTTCAAGGAAAGAGACACCGTGGTAGCTACCGTTATGTCAGGTTATCTTGTGGTGAAACACTATGTTGCTTAAATTGTTCTGTTCTGACCTGTGTTACTATGTTGTTATGTCTTTTATCTTAATCTCCTTCTTTCTTTTAATTGTTTAATAAAAAAGAGAAATAATTAGATAATGTTCTAGTGTATTGCTATTTTTAAAATTGCATTACAAAATTAAGATAAGTTTGAAGAATTGTTTCAAATTTTATATCCATTAGGAACTACCTGCCCCTCTATATTTCCTGCTTCCTGTTTTTCCCCCTTTTCACTTTCGTTTTTCTCTTGTAAACACACACACACACACACATACACACACACTTACACACACACACACACACACACACACATCTCTCTTTTCCTAGATTCTGTTTTTGCAACTTTTTTTAGTGCTAAAATTATTTTCAATCACAAATCAACACTTGAGGTGTATTTGTAGTCATTCAAGGCTGAAACGTGGAATCAACCTGTTTGTGTTTCCAGCCGAGATTGGACAGGAAAGTGGTCTGATGCAATTTATGTACTGTAAGTAATTTTCCCTTTCTATTTATATAGTGCCAAATATTTAGCCTTTTTTTTTTTTTTATAAAGTTGCTCCTTAAAATGCCCTTAAAGTGCTGAACTGTGGCTGGAGGCTCCCTACATGAGACCCTTCAAGAAGGCATGGATGTCTAATCAGGAAAATGTGCTAGATAAGCTTCATTCAAGCATGAGGTATGGTTTGCTGGCAGTGAGTTAAATGTCAATGCCTCAAAAATACATGTTTAATAATGTGTGGCTAAAGAGCAAAACAAAATTATGTAAATCTGAAAGATTACTTGTTGATGAAAACATTGTGATGTTTCATAGAAAACTAGTGCTATATTTTTACTAGATATGATGGTTCAATATAAATTCCTATATGCATGTATATTTAAGCTGTCTTTTTATATGTCGTTTATACTTTTTTTTTCCATTTTAATCTGTGGTTTGCTTCCAAATAAATTTTGTTTCTGTATTTTTTTGCACTTTGTATATAAAAAACCTCTCCTTACCACTGAATTAAAAATGTGTGTCCATATTTTCTTATAGTGAAATTATTATTTAGTCCATTAATGCATTTGGAATTTGGTTTTGGCATCAAATATACAACACCATTGTTCTAGAAATCTGTTCTCTATTTAAAATATTTCCTTTTGTTCCACATACCAAAGGCAAATGCAACTAATACTCCTGTCACCCAATGAAAATATGTTTCTGTTAATTAAATAATATACTATGATGCATAAAAGCATGACTTCCAATGTCTTTTTGCCTAAACATTGAGTATAATTTTTTTTAAAAAATGGCATTTAACATTAATGTTCATATAACCAGGTAAAAGATTTTAGTCTTATTTTATTCGTCATGTGGAGATATTTTCATTGTTGCTTGTTTTGCCTGCGGTTTTTTTCCCTTTATAATTTCATGGTATGGCAAATTCTGAAGCCATCCTTTGCATTTTAATGAGTGGACTTAGTCCACAACAGCTGAATCCAGGGTTTTTGCTCATGTAGTCTCTGGAATGTGATAACAGGCTGTTGTCTCAGACATCAAAGTGTCCTTGGCAGGGGTTGACATTAGTAGCATTCCTTGCATCTCACTTCAGGGCATTGCCAGGAGCACCTTTTTCAACTGCTTAGTGCAAGGATTACCCCATCTAAATTCCGAGTTTATTGTTTGGAAAAAAAAATAATCCATTTAATTCTTCTAACCTCATCGTCTTCTGAGTACTTCCTTTGGAACATAATATTAAAATGAAAAATTACGCAAGAGAAGCCTTAAAGGCATATTATTTTCAAACTCCAAAGAAACAAGGTAGTCTCCTTTTGAATACATGTCAATTTGTACTTGATATTCACTATAAATAGTTCTGTGTGCTAAGAAACTGGTCTAGGACACAACAAGAACATCAAGAGAAATGTTTTGCAGGACATGAGTTCATCTGTAATGCCCAATATTGTCAATAACTATACATAAATCTTTTGAAAGATAATTTATTCTTAATTCTGTAAAATTTAGGTTTATAAAAATGATTATAGGTTATAATCTTTATATACTATATAATATTAATATTATATAATATTATAATAAATATTACAAAGCATATTTAATTTTATATAATCTTTTCATGAAATGAACTAAAGGATCATGAACACTAAAAGAATCATTTTTTATAAACTTAACTTTCACAGAAAAAGACAATCACCAAATTATTACATCTGCCATTTTAATAAGATAGCTAATATTGTTACCAAACAAACACCATGTTTTTTGTGACATCCTACCATGTGAAAAACCCTTGGCAAATTTCCTATGTTATCAGTTCTAAAATTCCCTTTATAATAGCTATCGCAATAGTGATCCACTTTACCTGATGTCTTCATCATTTTGTACTGCTAGAAACTACCAAGTCCAACCTTGGAGATTCAGTGTCTGGTGTAAACCACCTTCTGTTTCGTAGATCTCTATCTCCTCAGTCCGTGCTCTCATGGTGAAGGAGGTGAGCTAGCACGTTCAATTTCCTTTATAAGCATGTTTATCTACACCTGAGGCAGAATTACATACCAAAGAACTCATCTCCCCATACTGTCACACTGGTGTTTTAGTTAGTTTGGAAAGCTGTAACAAATTACCTTAGACTGTGTTATGTACAAGCTAAAGAAATATATGCCTCTTATCCTGGCCACTCCAAAGTAAAGACAGAAGGAAGGTGCTAGCAGATTCACTGTTGGCTGAGGGATCATTCTTTGCTTTAGAGATGATACCATTTCTGGGTCCTTATAAGGCAGAAAAAGAACCTTCAGGAGAGCCCCACATTCATGAGTTCATTGCCTCCCAGTCTTCACCTCTTAATAACATCACACTGAGGACTTGTTTTTTTTTTTTTTTTTGTTAGAATTTGAGAGCAAACAGAAATATTTAGAGCATAATAATTGGAGCTGAAGGGCCGACAAATAAATCTAGAGTGTATAAATATTCACTCTGACACTTCTAATTTTCTACACCTCCCAAATTATTTGCTGTCACTTAGCTCCTTCAATATTACATCTTCTTGCTTTACTTATTAGTTTTATTTATTTATTTATTTTTTTGCTCTGGCAATTATATTCATAGCATTTTATCAGCATGTTAACGCTCCTACACATATTTATATCCACATATGATCCACTTACAATTTGTAAGTTATAAGTTTTGTTTTGTTATAAAATTTGACTTGTTTCTCCTACGAAAATGCAAGTCTTTTAAAGATATGAAGACCCTATATAATTTCCTATTTGTAAGATGCTTTGACCAAAGCAATTTGCATTTCAGGAAGTAACAAATACGATGTAATATTGATATCAATGATGATACAAAAGATGGTTAAAGTTCACAAGGAAATTTTACTTTGATCACAAGGTAATCATCAGTTACAAAGCCCTTGTAAAGACAGCTTTTCAAAAATCAATTTTGATGTGCAGTCTTGTCCAAAGAACTTTGGAAAGGATTAGAAAAAGTTAAGAGCTTATTAACAAAGAGATGTGATGGAGGTTTTATTTTTAAATTTTCTCTAAACTAATTTCTGTGAGTCACTAACAAACTGAACAGCTGCTCAGTCAATAAATGAGATTAAACACAAAGAATATAGTGCACAATATTTAAATTGCTGTCTACCTGGTTGTATCAGCAACCTCTACAATAAAAGTAGATTGAGAGGATGTGCATAGGATGGTATGCCATCTTATACCACATGAATTTATTTGCTCCCCAGTTAAGTTCAATCTTTCGCAGAGTTTTCACAGGGATGACTGGTCATATTACCAGGAAAGAATTAATGTAGCAAGGTTTGGTGGATTGATAAATGGTGACCAACTTGTAATACCAACTGAACTGAATCAGTGTGGTGCTGAGCATGAATGGCCCATCTAAGGATTGTTACCAACATAAAAGGAGGACTCCAGAGGAAGAGTTGAGTGTCATTGATTCTCTTTGCTGTTGCTGGTTCTCCAGTTGTCACTGGCTCTCCTGGAGAAGTTTGTTGAGCTTCTTTTCTGCTATAAACTTGGCTGTTTTCATCATGGGAGGAGCTCATTATAATCTCTCTGTCACTGAGGATGCCTGTGGTACTGTTCAGGGAGATCGGGTTCTACTTTGGGCATTGTTTCCTGGCTCCAGTGCAGAATCCTCAACCTAATGGCACAGAGCTTTCATCTACTGTCACAGACTTTCTGGCTTCCACTGCTGCTCCTGACTTTCCATGAGTCATTGTTGTAGACTTCTAGCTGGACTCGTGGAGGGCATTGTCATGGGCTCTAAGTCTTCAGCTAGACTTGTGCAGGACATTGCTGTGGGATTCAAATTCTCAGCTGTATTCTGTGGGTCTTAGAGTGTGGACAGATTTCCTGCAGTTTCTTAGTATTTGACTGCTTAGGTTACCATTATAAATAACACCAAAAATTACATGTTCTATATGTAATTGTACTTCTTGTAGTCCCTGACCACAACACAGGATTAAAGGCAAAAGTTTCTTCCTCAAACTACAATTGGCTTTACATTCTCCCTCACACAGCCCTATATTTTCCCTACTAGAAATACCCTAGAAATTTCATCACTACCAGGTGTGGTGGGGCATGTCGGTAATCCCAAGACTTGCGAGACTGAGGAAGGAGGGTCACTATGATTTCAAGGCCAGTCAGGAAGGACTACATAGTGAGTTCAGGACAGAATGATCTACACAGTGAGACCTTTCCTCAAAAAAATGCTTTTTCGTAATTGAGTTCTGAATTGGTTTGCTCTTCTCAACTGATAACTATTGCAATTGATTATTTAGTTCTCACTGCATTTTGGAGCAAAAATAAATATATACTAGAGCTCCGGGTACCAGAGGAACTTTTTGCAGTCCTTTATGTAAAGCAGTTACTCTACAAACTTATAGCAACATGAATTTTTAATATTCATGGAGAGTCTGTGTCGCTATAGTAGACATGTCCTGAAACATGACCATTTAAACAATTTTAAATGTCATAAGCTGGCATTGTGGCTCATGACTTTAATCCTAGCATGCAGGAGAGTTACTGGCTCAAGTTCAGCCTGGCCTAGTTAGAATATTAACAGGACTTTATCTCAAAAAATTGATTAGCTCATTGTAAAGATCCTGGGTTCACTTCCCATCACTACAAAATAGTTGTGTATGATAGTTAAATAATTCTATGAGAATAACATTTTTCTCTTCTCTTCTCTTTTGTTTCTAGTGTATTCTTTTCTTTCGCCTTGTCCTTTTCTTTTTGTTGCAGAAGACCTCTTTTCCTCTTTTTCCTTTATTCCGTATCTTCTTTCTCCCTTCCTTATTTTCTTTCTTTTTTCCCCTTCATTCAAAATTCTTTATTAAGCTCAGAATGGAAACATACGGAGCATGAATGCTAAACTTGCTTCAGTGGCCACTTCCTTGCCTGCTTATAGAGCTGAAAGAGATATTTAGTCACATAACTGGAGTGAACAAGCCAGTCTAAGCACCACAGGCACACAAGGCCAGAAGAACCTATATGGCTATTTTAAGCATCACCAACTCCCACTTCTCATTCAGTCCAAAACTTCAGACAGACAATAGAAATCCTACTGCTTTTCCAAAATATTACTTTCATTATGTTATTGTAATACAATTACATTTGGGAGTAGCTTCAGTTCTAAATTCTTTTTTATCTGACTTGAAATCTACACTCTTGAAACTGTTTTTCACTGATGCATTAGTCATGTTTTCTGGAAGGAAAGAAAAAGAAAAATAATCTCAAGTCATTTTGTCCATCAGATATTTCCATGCATCTCTAATTTAATATGTTTTAGGAAGCACACTATTGATTATATGATACTATTTAAACTTCCTCTGCAGACTTTGCTGGAGTGGTAAATGTTTGAAAAGAGGTTGGAGTAAAATGTGCATTGTAGTTTTTATAGATTGGTTCCAAAAATCACAATAAATATAAAAGACGATGACTACCAAATTATTGTGGCTGGAAAGGGTGACAAGTCAGGAGGTAATTAGCACCTAAAGTTCTGGGATTTCAGTTCAGTATGAAGCAACCAATCAGCACCTGAACAAAATTTTTGTATCGAAATGCCCCAAGTACCAAATTCCAATCATTTCATAGCAGTTAATTGCAAAAGTAAGACATTAATTAACAATAAAAGCACAATTCCTCATCAATCAATTGAGAAGGAGCCCTGGTCTGATTCTTAATGAAATCTAAGATAAATATCCTACTCTGGTTAAATTGTAAGCTATGAAACCAAAGGGTCGAAATACATAATAAAATATATAGTAAAATCTTGCAACCATCCTACTTAACCTGATAATCTACTAGAAAAAAAGTATGTTATCTTTTAGCAAAGAAAACCTTTGATGATCATTTAATGCATGCTTTGAAAGGATTTTTATTAATATAGTTTTTAAGCATAACAGTGGTTCAATGGATCAAAACAATTGGCTCTTTCTGATCATATTTTTAAACAGTTCCATAAGAATGCTCAGCTTTAATTGCTCTTTTCATAATTCATAAAAAATAAATGTTTATTAGGTTTCTCTCATAAATTACCAATTCCCTTGTTTCTACTATAGTTTGCTTGTTTCAGATGCAGCTTCCAATGAAAATGAAATAGCTCCATCACTTAATTTCATTTCTCTGTAGATTAAGTGAATCACTGAAAAATGTAGCAATGGCAATGTGCCATACACTGTTAGGTATTGGAGGTAGATGGTAAGCAAGACCTGAAAGTCTTCTATTAAGAGATGTCGGTTGGCAATGAGTTTATAGGACTTTGTTCAGAAATTAGAGCCAGGGTTAGAAATATGCATCTTTGCAGTTAAAAAGTCTCTGTCTCCACAAATGCTTTTCAAACTGTGCTCCAGAGACACCAAATCCTTGACACTGTAGTATGATTTTGCCTTAAGCCAGAGAGAAATGGTGAAGGAAACAAAATAAAATACAAAAAAGAAGTAGTTGACCTTTTAAGCACAATATTTGCTAAATTATTTACTATATATTCCATGCCTATAGGAAAACACGACAAGATATCGCTAAATTAGTTTCACAAAACTACAATTCAAGGCGCTGGCTCTTACAAAGTACTTTGAGTGTCAGTGATACTGACAAACATACATGGTCACATAATTTGCCTTTAAAACATGAATTTAAGATCTGGAGTAAATATGATTATGACAAAAGTATGGCATTGCTAGCATTTTGGAAGGATGATCCTTGCCCTCAGCCAAATTTCCTCTAAACTCTATCAGAGCTTAACATTTTATCTGTAGAGAAAAAAATGGTAAGGTCACTGGTCTTGAAGATTTCTCTAGTGAAAACTACAAGGGCAACATATGCTGGGAGTCCCTGTGCCTTTTTGTTTCATTTTATTTTATTTATCACAGCTCTATCCTCTAATTTTTTTCTGTGCATCCCATAAATAGTCAAAAGAAAAAAGGATGAAATAGAAAATCAATCTATGCAGATTAAGAAGTCAGAAGAATAAATATGTGTGGCTTCATTTGCATGATGTCTCTTCATTTTCCTGCTTTCTCTGACCCCTTCAGACACAGCGTGAACTAGTCTTTGAGTTGTCAGGACAAATCTCTTGTGGCCATCACCTTGCTTGTAAAACTTGGAGGTTTAAAGACAACACTGTCAAGTGATTATGAAATAATGCATTCAGCTGCTCTAACCCTGCCAGGCTTCTGAGCATAATGGTTGGAGAAGAATAAAAAGAGGAGGCTGGAGCTGCCAAGCAGTGCCTGCTGTGAGCAGGAGGCCTTTTTTGGATGGCTAACAACAGACACCATGCTCAGGCAAGTGGGGTTTTATGGCCACCATTCTTTCATTGGCTTTTATAAATGTATATATGTTTTACAGGTGAATCAAAGCCTCAAAATGGCAAAGAAGAAATGAAGAGGGCCTGGCATGAAATACTGCAGCAATATTCAGAGAAAACCAAAGAAAAACAAATGAGAAGCTGATGCCTTTTACTTATAAGCAAAGGATCAGGAGGGGATCAACTGGCCAACTGTACCTGCTGGCAGTAATTAGGTCAGGCAGCCGAGAAAATGAAACACTGTGGTTTGAAATTTTATATTTCTTAATTTTTCATGGAATTGGTCAGTGAACATGTGCCTCCATTCAGCGTGCGCCTGCCGCGTGCCTGGATTTTGTACAGGAATGTGGCACCTCTAGATGCAAGGAAGCTGCTGGGCTCTGATTCAATCCCTCGGCTGGTTGATGTGACACTGATGTGACCACCTGTGGCATGTGAGACTGGACCAAGAGTATGCAGGAGCTCAAGTACAATGGTGAATTGTTTCATTCTCCCAAATACAACATACAAATGAGAACAGAGAGCACACAATGAAACAAAACAAACCTTCACCGCAGTACATGTGCTCAGGTAGTGCTCACTTCCAAGCCAGCTAGAGAATGGAGGGGCACATGGTTCCAATTTCTCTATATGAAGACAATAGAGGAAATCCAGCTTTTTAGAAGATGAGTCTAAAGCTTGGGCATTAGCCACCTCACCAATGTTTTCTTCCCAAACACATTGAAGAATTTCAATTTCCTGTGCGCTTCTCTGAATTCACATTGCTGCTTTTGCTGTTATATATTTGCCCCTGTCTTCATCACCAGGCAGCCCCCAGAGCTGAATGTGGCATTTAAGGGATATTCTTATGTGGCTTTCCCCATGCTGCTTCATAAATAACTTTATCTTTCACCCTGGCACTCACCACCTTGTATAGAAATCTCCTGTAAATCCTGTGAAATTTAATTGCAAACATTCTTAATGAATCTGAACTTTCTAAAGATGGAGAATGAGCTTCACTTGTGTTTATTCTGCCTCTTTCTCTGTGTCGAACACCATTTAGACTCTGAGTTTGTATTGATTCAATCACAAATTCTGTTCCAATTTTCAAAATTGTTTGTCTCACCAGCAAGTACAATATAAAAGCCAAAGTCTTCTTTGTAGACTCATATGAGACTTTATCCATCCTCATCCTACATTCTACCAAATTACCCTTATTATTTTTCTATTTTTTCACCAGGGGATCCTTTGGTTAGAGAAAAAGGTTAGGGCACAGGTAGGAAGCACAGACACCCTCAAACATCAAGGATGTGAACACCTCAGCTTCTTCCATCATCTTATATATTTTTTAGACATGTTTCTGCACAGTCTTTCAGTCTGCAAAGTGATTTGTACCAGCTCCCCACAGCAAGAACCTGCAAAGAAAAGTACACTTTATTGGTTGACATCATTTTGTAATTTTTTAACTTCTTCAGTGTAATTTCTATTAACGTTTTGTCAAATAAATACAACCTGTAAAAGATACACAGTTGAAGAAATCTATTCTAAGAAACCGAATTGAGCAAAATGCAGGAGATGACTAAAAAGCCAGACACAACAGAGTGCACAGCCAGGAAAAGATCCTCATGAGTTGGCTAGAATGCTGTGGCACAGGCCTGATGGAATTTCTTCCCTCAGTCCTGCTTTTATGGTCTTGTTTTTATGGGTGGTAAGGGACAATGTCTTCTAAAGAAAGCCAAGTGATCGAAAGCTTTAATTACATATGTAAACTCCCTTTGCTGTGAACCTCTATATTATATTTGGTAATTAGCCTTTAAATAAGAGGGGACTCTTGCTTAACCAAGTGAATGCAGCAAATCAGATGCCATCAGATCAACTTTTGTACCTTTTTCTAGTGAACACACCATCTCCAATGACACAGGGTCATTGTACTTTTAACCTATTTTCCCCACTGCATTTATCATCAAAGATTAAATTTTGGTCATACACAAATATTTTAATTTTAATAATTTTTCTACTAGTTTTCAACTTTACATCTCTACTACTTTAAGAGTTCTGAGTGTGACATGATTTCCATTCACTAAACTAGGCTGCTGCATATCGTAAAATGCCAACAGTGATGGGCACGAGAGCCCATCGGATGTCCTAACATTCCTTGTACTTCTATCACTCATATTTTGCTGAGGTCTCAAGAGTTGATTTTCCAAGATAATTTGATAAGTCGCAGAAGGGATGTGTGTGTCCTTTTGGAATGAAATTTGATGAGTCATTTAGTGACTGTTCATGTTACATTTTTGTGTGTGTTGGCAGTTATGAGACTTGAGCAAGATTCCCTTCAGGTTACAGGAAGTTTATTAAAGCTTTCTGCCAGATGAATCACCCTGAACATGTGTCATAAAAAGTGTAAATACAAGTGTGTGTGTTAAGATACTGAGATTGTGGAATGGACAGGCAGCCTTGCCTAAGCTGACCTAAATGGTAGGCCTTCTGCTCCTCTATCTGCACAAGGCAAATGAAGCTTTCTTTGACATTGTTATCCTTACATTTATACTTTGAGGATACCACTTATTACAGAATGCTTGACAAGGTGGTTCTACATGGATATCTATGAAAATTAAACAAATGTTTCACTCAATTTTTCTTTACAATCTCAACATGAAGTAACATCTCAACTATTATAAAGATTTGATATTCTGCTAAACTTAATGAATTGGGACAAGTTTTCTCTGAATTCTCTGGGACTTCTATCTGGCATTATATAAATTCAGTATTTTATTTTAATTTGTTATTGTCATAATGTGCTTAGAGAATCCCAGCATTTCCTAAAGACTTGTGCATTTTAAGTGAATTATCTTATTATTAGACTAAACATTCATGACAACACTTTATCATAACTTACCTATGACCTAGTTAAAAAAGAATTTTAAAAATGAGAGGAAAAAATAATCAGTGCAAGTCAGAATTGTAATGTTTCACAGTATAAAGTGCATTTTCCCTCTGCCATCCAATGTAACATAATTGCCTAATGATTTCACTTTCTCCAGAGAACCGTCTTGACATCTTTATTATATTTGCCCTTTTTGGACATGGGATCTGTTTAGGCCAATAATGTCTCTATTTAATATTTTAATTAAACACATCCACTTAAACTCTCTACTGACCTTTTCAAATGAGGGCATCTCAACTGGTTTCAAACATTCGAGCACAGAAATTTTAATTCTAAATTTTGAACATAAGTTCAGTGTTCCTCTGAATCTTTGCCAATAACAAATGTTGCTGAAAATAGAAAAAAAGTGTGGTTGCATTGTTTTGGCATTCTGTTGCTATGACAAAAGGCCTGACTTGACCTAAAAGAAGAAGAAGAAGAAAAAAAAAAAAAAGTTTCGTCTTAGCTCATAGTTTGACAGTTTACAGTTGATGGGCAGCTGTCTCCAAGGCAGAGATAGCATGACAGATGAGTTTGTTGGACCAAGGCTGCACACTTCCTGGTGGGCTGGAAGCAAAATGGAAGGGAAGAACCCAGAGATGAAGGAGTGAAGGACCAAATAATGTGCCCAAAGCCACATACCTGTTACCTAACCAGAGACATGCAGAGGTGCCCTCTACTAATTTACTGGCCATTTGTAATCCAGTTCAATTGACAATCAAGATTAGCCATCATAAACGTCAATCAATGTATAATTATTGATCATTTCTTTGTACAGAAACTTTATAATGCTGCCTGTTAAAACTCTAGTATGAGATAAATTGGGCCCCTTGTCCCCCTATAGGTTGTAATTTCTGGATTTCAGAATATAACTTTTTTGGAAACAGAGTACTGCAAATCTGATTATTTTTTCCTAGTACATACTGGAGTAGGGTCCAGTACCCATTGATTATTTGTGACTGGTGATCTTATAAGAAGCTTGCAATATGAGGACAGAGACACACAAGGAGGAGGTCATGGGATGACTAAGGAAATGTTGGAGATAATGCATCTAAAAGCCCAGGAATGCCACAACTCTCCTGCCAACCATCAGAAGTCAGGAAGGGCAGGATTACTCCCCTTCAGATTTCACTTGACTATGGTGAAATATCACCTATCACCACTGAGAACCTACAGAACTGTGAAAGAATAAGTGTTTGATGACTTAAACTACTCAGTTTGTGATAGTTTTACATAGCCATGCCTGGATGCTAACATATATCTTCATTAAATAAAGTACTCACAGTGAGGTGGCATTCATGAGAAACTACCAGGCCCAAATAAAAAGTAAGATGAGGATATAGGCATTACCTAGCAAATGAGTGAATTCATGGCTGAGGGTGATGGCATTGCCCCTTATTAAAGCACAGAAGGATTTGTATGCAGAGACCTCTGTGAAAAGCTGTGAGCCACGGGAACAGGAGTGATTGGCTAAAAGTCTACATGTTCTTAGACTATGAATTGCTATGGCTTTCAATAGCTATGTGCCAGGCCTCTGTGTGTTTGCTTGCTTCCTGAGCTCAATCCTGAAAAAAAATATTTACAGCCTAACTTCAATGAGAAGTTGTCATTAAGCAATTAAATATCCCAAATAAGACCTGGAAACTAAAGGTCTTTTATATTTTTACAGTGATTCTCTCTCTCTCTCTCTCTCTCTCTCTCTCTCTCTCTCTCTCTCTCTCTCTGTGTGTTTCCCTCTCTCTGAAAATTGCGATCCATGCATTTTAAATATTGAATTTAAAGACTCATTCTCTCATCTTTCATTTGTTTCAGCTATTTCTATCCAGCTTGATGCATTTATTTTTTAAAAAATTCCTTAAAATGATTTTTAAAGCTGAATCATCTTAAGAATAAGATGCAGAGAGGAGAAGGAGGCCAGATTTGGATAAAATACAAATCCTAAAAATAAGACAAGTTGAACTATGAACAACTTACTTTAAACAAATTTATGGTGAAAACAAACTGTGTAGTATTCAAACTCATTCAAATAACCTCAACAATTATTGTCCTTCTTATTTAAGTAACTTTTATGAATCAACCCAAACCACATTTGATCTCTTTCATCAGAGCATGTTCAATTTGTAAATACAAGGCAAAGGACTAAAAACAACCAAAGCATCCTAGTAAAAGTCAGACTAATTGGCAAAATGCCCCTTGAGCTCTTTCAACATATTTCAGAAACTTAAACACAAAAATGAATTTATGGTAGTTTTATCTTTCATCACTATTGTTAGGTTATCTTCTTTTCTGGGCCCAGAATTTAGTTTTCTGCTGGGTTCCAAACTCTGCATCAGCCCTTGAACTTGGTTGTGAAAGGACATTTGACAAAGTTTAAGGGAGAGATGAAAACGTGTCCTTTTATCGCAGTGTTTACTCTGTAGTGATGGGTAATGCTTCTTCTTCATTGCTCACATGTTAATTTCCACTTTGTTTTTCTAGCGTCCTCCTCCCCTCCCTTGAATGACAGCTATATTAGCTCAGTTTGTCAGGGCAGTTGCCAGCCCCGCTAGAGAAAACCCAGGAAGGGCTGACCTCATGCTCACAGCATGCACCAGCCAGCTCAGACTTCTTTATCAGTCAGCGCCTGGGAAGGCCAGGCAGGGTCCCAGCTGCCTTCCCAAGTGAGTTTGATGATAAAGTTTATCCCATCAGGAAAGAGGGTATTGGTCAGAGTCCAGTTGCATGGCTTATGTTGCGAGTGAACTTTTCGACATTTCAAATCTGCCGTATCAAATTAAGTGGAATAAAGCCGGCTGTTTGCCTGATTATTTATAGCATCACAGGAGACTTGGAATGACTTATGAAAGAATGGAAATATTTCTCTTTCCTTAGAAATAAGCTCGCCTCTGCCAAGATATACAGCAATTGCCTGAGTATGGCAATGGTGCAAAAAGACTTCCAGTTCCAAGGTTATTAAAACATACCTGGGCTCACTTACAGACCCAAACCGAGTTTGAGAATGAACAACCTGGACCCAGCGTGGAGTGCCACTGTGAGCTGCCTGGGCAGCCCAAGCTTCAAACCCATAAAATCCAA